GAGCACTGGGGGTGCCAGGGGTCCCCCCCAAACGAGGACAGGCACTGGGGTGGCCTGAAGCCCACGGGGTGCATGGACCAGGCATTTGGATATGAAGCTTTTTCCTGCCTTTGCTGGTTGCTCTCAGGGGTACAGGCCAAGCACAAGGTTTTTGGGGAGCATCCGTGCAGAGCCAGGGGACGAGGCACAGGGCAGGGGTGTTAGTAGGTACAGAGCAGGGTCCTGGTGCTCCAGCCTCAGGGATTTCTCTCCAGAGCAGGGCTGGGTTTGGCTGGTGTGCTGCCTCACCATGACACCCCCAAAGGAGCAGCCAGGGACCCTTTCCTCCCCTGCATCCCTCCAGGGTTCCCCCACTCTGAGCATGGGGAGAAAAACCCTCCCCGTGGAGCCCAGGCAGGGAGGAGACCTGCACCCCTGGGGTGTGAGGGTGAAGGAGATGTGGAGACATCTCCCATGTCCTCTCCATCCATTCTTAACATCCCCTGGACCAGGGGTAGATGTCCCTGTGACAGATCCTGCTGCTCTGGGTGGTGGTTGGGGTGCCTACAGGTGCAGGCACCCAGTGCCCACCTCCCATCTAGGGCCCCTGGGGCTGTGAAGGGCTCAGTGTCCCAGGGACACTGAGACCAAAGGGGGTGATGCTGGGGCAACAAGACCCAGCTTCCCTTAGTGCTCAAGGCAACACACAAGCACCAAAAAGTGCTTTAAAACGGCCAAGCTCGTTGCGAGGCAGGGCGGGATGTTTGGGAGGTGTCGGTGCTGGGGCCGCTCCCCTTTCCCGCTGCTCCTGGAGGAGCCAGGAGAGTTGAGGAAGAGTTCCAGCCTGCCATTTGAATGGCTTTGATTTCTGTGGCTTCATCAGCCCCTTCATGTTAACGAGATGACTGGTTGTGGGCGAGGGCCAGCCTTCATTTGCGTGCATAATTTGCTGCACAATTACCCTGATGGGACATGCAAATGGGGTAACTCGGTGCTCCATTGGGCCCTCGGACCTCTTTGCTCCCAGCCACCCCCCCTCAGCCCTGTGTGAGCCGGGCAGGAGCTCAGCTCCCAACGGCACACCTTTTCCTGGGAAGGGGAAATGACAAACCTGTCCCCAGTTTGGGCAGGCAGGTGGAGGGGCCGGGGGCAGCCAAGGCCTCCAGGCACCTTGGGTTGGGTTTGGGGAGGGTAGATCCACTTGTCCTGTCCTGCTCCTTGCCTCAGCGTGGGGATAAAACCTCTAAACCTGCCCCGTGCTATTTTTGTGCCCTACCTGGGGTGTGTTTTGAGGTCTGGGCTGAGGATGGGCTTGGAGATTTGGCTGCTGAGCCACCAGCCCTGAGTCACAGGGTGTGAGGAGGGAGCGGAGAGGTTTGTAATGGGAAGGAGAGGAGGAGGTTCTGAGGGCTGCCCCATGCCTGAGCCCCCCATGGGCACCACAACAACCCCCCCTCCTTGCCCTCATCCGCCACTGCCCTGGGATGTGGTTGGTCTCCTCCCGTGGCTGGTTCAGATGAAGCTCTGGATGCTTTTCTGGCAAGTTCTGGCTTCCCTGGGTGGGACCTCCATCATGCAGGGAGCTGGGGGGTGCTGCTCCTCTCCCTGCCCTGGCAGAGCATCTTCTGCTGCCCTTGGTGCCCAGGTGGGTGTTTGCCTTCGATCCCACACAGTGCCCACCAAAATCCAGCAGCAGGGTTGGGATTTTCCTACTCCAGATTTCCTTTCACAGCCATTTGGGTTTCTTCCTCGGGGCACCTGTGGTGGCTTGACCAGAAAACCCAGCACAGCTGAGGGACCCAGGGCAGCCCGTGCTGGGCTGTGGGTGCTCCATAAGCACCCTGTGTACACACTTTAAATAGGAAAATCCAACTCCCCTGGGGGTCCCCATGTGAAACCCTGCTCTGAGCTGACGGTGGGTACTGGGATCCCAATGTTCCTCTCAGGAGGATGGAGGAAACCTGAGATGAAGCAGGAGATCAGCAGAGGCTCAACTGCATTTCACAGGGCTTGGGATAACTCTGGAATCTGTCCTTGCTTTGGAAAACCTCCAGAGTTTATTTTTTCTCCTGCTTGCAAGGGAAGAATAGGATCTTCCTTGCATCCCTTTTAAACCTATTTTAGGATTCTGAGCACTTGATGTGGTTGAATATCCTGGCATTTCCTTTTAATTTAGTGTCTGAAATGATCATGGGGACCATTGGGAGCAGCCAGGACCAGTAATTATGACTGATGCACCATTTATATAGAGACAGAAAAAGTTTGGGATGAAAAAGTGCAGCTAAAAATAACCTGGGGGGGCAGAAGAGAGGGCGGGCAGCCCTGTCACCCCATCTCTGGGAACAGAGAGAGGCAGGAGCACTGAGAGCTGGGAGAAGCCAGGGGCTCATCCTGGATGGATCTGGGCATTCCCTGCCCAGGGCTGCAAAGCCCTGTGGCCGTTGCTAGATGTATAGAATGGATTTTTAATCATTTTATGTTGGGTTTTTTAGGAGGGGGGGGGGAGCACACGGTGTGTTTGTGGCATTGAGCTTTGGGGAAAGATGTGAGGCAGATCTGAGGGGCCAGAGGGTAAGTGTGGAAGGAGGGGGCAAGGAGAGCAGGGAGCCTGGGCTGGGTTTTTTTAGTGTGTCTCCTCCACAATCCGGATAATCCGCCCACAGCTAATTGAGGGTTGCTGGTGTGGCTGAGCCAACCCTCCTGGAATCAATAGCAGGTTCCCAGGGAGGGCCCATGGTCCTCAAACCCCCAGCACCACTTTGAGCACCCAGTTTTCTGCCTGGGCAAAAGGGCTCTGGATGCTTTCGGGCTGCAACTTGAGCTCCGAAGCCGCAGGGTGGGAAGTTTGCAGCTATTTATCGTTTTGCCAAGAGCAGGGTGGGATTAACCCCCTCCCCAAGCTGGTGATCAGCAAACCTGCAGTTTGCTGAGGGCCCTGCAGATGGTCCCAGCCCCTTGTAGGCACAGAGGAGGGACCGTCCCCCTCTGTCCTGCCCTGCCAAGGGGGTTCCCTCATCTAAAAGCAGGGGGAGGAAGCAGGGATTCCTCCTAATCTCTCCTCCCAAACCCCAGACAGCTTGTTATGAAGTCCAGCTCATTTGGTTCATCAAGTTGCACAGCTAATTGCCTTCTCCTTTAGCGTTTCTCATCCCTGGCCAGGGTATTCCTGGGCTTTTTGCCACCCCCACAGGTCACCTCCCCCCTCTGCCTTCAGCCTGGAGCTTCTCTATCAGCTCCACAGCGCATGGATGTGGGGATGTCCTGACCAGCTGCTTCTTTAGCAAAGGTTTTCACCCTTCTCCAGGGCTGAAAATCACCCCAGGGGCTATTTCTGTGTTTCTGGGTCCCCCTTATCCCTGCATCCACCCCAGTCATTCCACAGGACCCTTTGCCAGATACTCCCAACCCGTGAGGATCCCAGTGGTTCCTGAGCCTGGATTTTATCTGGTTGGGTCTCACCTGATGCCAGAGAACAACAGGGTGACCCATGGAGTACCTGGGGTGACCAAAAACACCCGAGGGGACACTGCTCTATATGGATGGTGTCCCCTGGACTGTCTGGGGGTTTATCCATGAAAAATAATTAAAAAAAAGGGGATTCCTCTGGTTGTGTTTTGGGGGAATTTAAGGATTTTTCAGGAGCCATGAGGCACTGGTGACTTTGGCAGCATCTTGATCATTCCAGGAGCCTGAAACCATCAGCCATGGGGCAGTGGGAGAAATAGAAACGTAGGAAAGAGCTGGGGAGACCCCTGGGGGGGGTGCAGAGGGGTTGGGGGGCTGGTGTTTCCCCCTCTGATGTGGTGCAAGGGCCGGATCCAGCTCCCCACAGCATCCTCCCTGCCCAGCTGGCCGCTGGCAGCAGGAAACGTTCTCCACATCCGTCCCTGCCCGCCTGGCCCTGGGCTTTTTTTATAACATAACTTGTGGTGAGCCCAGTAGCTGCAGGAATTGTGGGGAGGGATATTTTATTTTATTTTATTTTATTTCAATTTAAAAAGGAAAAAAAAAAAAGGCAAAAAGGGAAAAAAATAATAATCCAAAGATGCTGAATTAAAATCTCAGCGTTGGGTTTGGAGAGGGGGATGCACCACGTTGCTCCCCCTGTGCAAACACAGACAGCAGCTTCATGGTGGCTTAAATTTAGTCTGGGTTTTTTCCCTCTGGGACCAGTTCAGAAAATCCCATTTGAGAGGTGCAACCTTATTTCTTTAATTATTTGGTTGTGTTCTTTTTTAAAAAGTAAAGGCCGGGTCAGATTTGTTACTTGGCTTTGGTGCCTGAAGCAGGAGGAGCTTTAATCACTTTAATTACACTCAGTCAGGAGTATTTTTTAAGAGCAATTGGAAGAAAAGAAGGACAGAGAAACCATGTGAGGCTGCTGAGGGTGATGTTAGGTTTATTCTTTGTGGAGATTAAAAGCTCTTTTAAAAAAATCACCATATTTTTCCTTTCCCACATGCACTAAATCTCTGCAGAAAGGAGGTAGAGCCTGAGGGAAGAGGGGACACTGAGATGGCCCCTGGGGACTCCTGGGTTGTCCCTTTTCTTTCTTTGTCCCCCAAGCACTTACTGCTAGAAAAGCTTTGCAAAAAGTCCCAGTTTCTGCTGGTGACCCCCAAAGCTTTGGGGTTTGGGTGGGTTTTCCCCCCTTTTGGGGAGTGCAAAGGGCTGCAGCCCCTAAAGCTCAGCAGGAGGGGCAGCTTTGCTGGGTGCCCAAAGGGGAGAAACCTTTTGGGTTGAAATGGATATAATTAATAATCAAGAAAGAGGGTGGGGAGGTGGGTGGGGTGACAGCGAAATGAAGTTGAGGGAGTTGTGTAAAAATAGAGTGTGTGTGTGTGTGGGGGGGGTTGCATCAAGATTAAAACCCTCAGGAGAGGAGAGATGGGGATTTGCAGCAGCAGCCAAGAGCTTGGGGGGATTGAGGGTTCCCCAGATCGGGGGCCAGTGGTGCTGGTGGGACTCTGATCAACCCATGGGGGTGGCTGGTGCCACGGTGAGGGTCCACCTGACCTTTTTGCTCCACAGTGGAGCAGGACCGGGACATCTTCTCTCCAAAGCCCTACTGGAAGGAGTTCAGGTTCGACCTGACCCAGGTGCCCACGGGGGAGTCGGTGACGGCTGCCGAGTTCCGCATCTACAAGGCACGAGGTGTCACCCGTCACCCCAACAGCAGCCTCCACCTCAGCATCTATGAGATTGCTGCTGAGCACTCCAACAGGTGACAGGGCCAGGGGTGGGGATGGGGGAGATGGAGGTGGGGGTGAAGTTGGGGGTGGGAATAGGGGTGAAGTTGGAGAGGGGCAAGAAGATCAAGGGGAAGGGAAAGAAGAAGAAATTGGGGATGGGGATGAAGACGGTGGGGAGGGGAATGGAAATGGGAATGAAGATGAAGTTGGGGGTGGGAATGAAAGTGGCAGGGATGGGAACAAGGATGGTGGAGATGAGGGTGAAATTGGGGATGGGAAAGAAGATGATGAGGGATGGGAAAGCAGGTGAAATTAGGGATGGGCATGAAGATAGTGGGGATGGGGAATGAGAGGGATGGGGATGAGGATGGGGATGGGAAAAGAGATGGGGATGGGAAAAGAGATGGGGATGGGAAAAGAGATGGGGATGGGGAGGAGGATGGGAAAGGAGACAGGGATGGGGATGAGAATGGGGAAGGAACCAGGGGTGGGGATGAGGGTGGGGATGGGAAAAGAGATGAGGATGGGAAAGGAGACAGGGATGGGAATGAGGATGAGGAAGGAGACATTGATGGGGATGGGGAAGGAGATAAGGATGGGGAAAGAACCAGGGATGGGGATGAAGGTGGGGATGGGGAAAGAGACCGGGATGGGGATGAGGATGGGGTCCCCCCCAGGCCCCAGCACTTTCCCTTCCCACCACTCTGAGGGCAGTGGCTGTTCCCACCCTTTCCCAGCTCCCTGGCTTTTCCACTGGGCTCGGGCAGCCACTTTTCCCAGGGACCCAGCACCGTGTGTGGCACAACCGGAGCCTCCAGGACCCGACCCTGCTGTGCTGGGGCTTGTACAGACACGGGCACCGAGGAGTCATTTCCATCCAGTCTCACTGGTGCCCTTTGGGTGCTGTTACTCACCTGCTGGCTTTGTTGTGTTGGGTTTTTTTTCCCCCTCCATTTCCACAGGGAGTCTGACCTGTTCCTGCTGGATGTCCAGGACCTGCGTGCTGGGATGGAGGGCTGGCTGGTGTTTGATGTCACAGCCGCCAGCAACCACTGGTTGGTGGATCAGAAATACAACCTGGGGCTGCGACTCTACGTGGAGACAGAGGATGGTAAGTTTGCCCAGCCCACCTGCAGCATTTGGGACCAAATCCTGGGAATTTAGGCCCTCTCATCACAGCTCTGTGTGCCCTGGTGAGCAGCAGGGAGTTAGGGGGAGGGTTTGTTTCTCCACCATTTGAATTTCCCAGCAGGGATGGTTGGGTTTGCCCTGATGGCAAAGCCTCCCAAAGGCTTTCATGCTAATAGGGCTCCTGGTGTGGGCTGTAATAACCTCATTAGCATTTAATGAACTCCTTACCTGGAGGGATCTTTGGGTATGAGCTGGAATATTAACCCTCATCTCACCAAGGGGTCAAAGCTGCTCTGAAGGTGCCATTTGCAGGCAGGGAGAGACACAAACTGCATCTCTGCTCCTCTAGGGGGTGAAATCCCAGCCTTTAATGTCCCATCCACCCCCTTCCTGAGCTTTCCCCTCCAAGGATGAAGGGGAAACGTGGTCACTGCTTGGTTTGGAGCCTGGAATTGCTCTGTGTGACCACGGTGTGGTAATGGCCATGCAGGATGAGGCTGGATCACCTCTGTGAGCTGCCTGACATCCACCCAACCCGGGGGGAGCAACAGCAGGATGGGACCTCCTGGGGTGGGTCCATCCCTCAGGATGCTGAAACCACAGCTCTTCCTTGCACATTTCCTCTATATTTTTGGTTCATGAGGTTCATTCTGGCTCCTGGTCCCACCCTTGCAGGGCACAGTGTTGACCCAGGCTCGGCGGGGCTGTTGGGGCGCCGGGGACCCCGTTCCAAGCAGCCCTTCATGGTGACATTTTTCCGGGCCAGCCCCAGCCCCCTGCGTGTCCCCCGGGCAGCCAGAGCCCCCAGGAGGCGGCAGCCCAAGAAGACCAACGACCTCCCACACCCAAACAAGCTGCCAGGAATTTTTGGTAAGAGCTTTTGCAAGTGCCTGTGGAAAAATACGGGACTTGCCACAACTGAGGGACACTCAGTTAGTACATGATCTTGTAAGACATATCAATTTTTGCCCAGAAATGCACCCCAGGGGGAGCAGAGCTGAGAGTTCTGGATTGTTCAGGATGGGGGTTGTTTGCAGCTCAGGGGGTGCAGGGGAGTCTGGGATGGGCACCCTAGAGGTGAGGGTGATTTGTGGGCTTGGGGGGATTCCTGAATATTGGACTTTGGGCATCACTGGCCTTGGTTTTGAAGGATGTTGTGGCCCCTGGGGACTGTCATGGCCCTGGGAAGCTGCTCAGGGAGCAGGAAGTCTCAGCTCTGCCAAACTTACTTGCCTTGGGAACCCCTTAGAGCCAACTCCACCATGAGCAGAGCTGGGATTTAGCCCTTCCCAGCCTGACTTCCCCTCATCCCCATGTTGGAGCAATACATTTCAGGCTGGTCTTTTCCCTTTGTGCAACCACGGGGGCTCCTTTTCTTTTATTCTGGACTGTTGTGAGGGTGACAGAGCCTTGGGACAGGCTGCCCAGAGAGGTTATGGAGTCTCCTTCACTGGAGACTTTCAAGACCCACCTGGACACGTTCCTGTGTGACCTGCCCCAGGTGGTCCTGCTGCAGAGAGGTTGGACTCCATGACCTCCAAAGGTCCCTTCTAACCCCTATGATTGATTTTATGATCCTATGATTATTACGGGCTGTTGGATCCCACCCTGGAGGGGGGGATGGTGCAGTTAGGGTGGGGGTCAGGGTGCTGGTACCCCAGGGGTGACACTGCTTTGTCCCCTTGTCCCACAGATGATGTCCACGCCGGGGATGGGCGACAGGTCTGCCGGCGCCACGAGCTCTACGTCAGCTTCCAGGACCTGGGCTGGCTGGTACTGGGCTCTGGGGAGAAGCCAAAATACCAATAATCCCACCAAAACCATCACTGTCTGCCCCCCCCCCAGTTTTCTCTTTCCCAGCCAGGCTTCTTCTGCCCACAGAGGGAGCTGTGAGCAGTGCAGGGGAGCTGGGAAGGGAAATGTCAACTGCTCCAACCCCAAATCCCACCAAGTCACCCTGAGCAACCCATGGCAAAGTCCAGAAAAAAATGATTATTACTTTTTAAATTATTATTATCAAAATAAAGCCTTACTCCTGGCACAGCTGCCCAGGGAGGTGATGGCTGGGTTGTTTTTTGCAGGTGGGGAATGGATGAAGAAGCCCAGAGAGGGTGAAGCTGATGGAGTAACTGGTGTAAATCCTGTATTTCTTTTTCATTTCTCTCCTTTTTTCCAGGACTGGGTGATTGCCCCGCAGGGTTACTCAGCCTACTACTGTGAGGGGGAGTGTGCCTTCCCCCTGGACTCCTGCATGAATGCCACCAACCATGCCATCCTGCAGTCTCTGGTCAGTGCCACCCTTGGGGAGGGACCCATCACAGCCCAGCAGATCCCCATGGGGACCTGGATTCGGGGCTGGATTTGGGAGCGTTGAGGTTGGAGGGTGTAGAGTTTAGCTCCCAAGTCAGCACCAGCGAGCTGGGTGCAGGTCTGGAGGTTGCTCCCTGCCCCTATCAACTGGTGGGGAAGGACATCATGGTCCCTTCACCCTCCTCACCCTCCCAGTGCTCCGGGATTTCACCCCAGGTCCCTCCAAGCTCCGCGGTGACTCCGCGCCCACGCGCCGGGCTCAGCACATTCTAAGCAGGAAAGCTTTAATGCCCCGTTTGTTGGGGTTTGGTTTGGTGTGTTGTTGTTGGGTTTGGGCTTTTTTTTACTTCTTCACCCCCTCCCAAACCCACCTCACATCTCAGCCAGTGCTTTAATTTCTGGAATTTCCTGCCCTGTGAGTGTTTGATTTCCCAGTGGCAGAGTCACAGCGGCTCCGGTGCTCGCGGTTAATTACAGGGAGCGCAGAGTCCTTGGCTGAGCCTTTGAAGGTGTTGCCTGGAGGGGTTTAATTTTTGCATGGACAAAGCTGCCAGAGGCCCCATCCAGGGCTGGGCACCATCCTTGGCCCCTTCCCATCCCCATCATCTCCACCCACCCCCCCCCTAACCCCACCGCTCTCCCCGAAACGGAGCCGCTCGGGCAGGATGTGAATCACCTGGCGCCTGGATCCAGCTCTTCTGGGAAGTCTTCTGGGAAAGGCAGTTTGGGGGGGCCGTGCCAGCCCAGCCCGTGCAGCAAATAACAGGGTTTGACAGTGAAAAAACACCAGAATTCCGAGCGGGGAGAACTGGGCTCCCTCTGCAGGGAATGAGTCGCACACGTTGGGCAGGGCTGCGTGTCCCGCAGCCTGGGAACAGCCCAGTTTGGGCTGCTGAGTTACTGGGATAACGTGTGTCCAGAGCAAGGGGTGAAGGAGCTGAAGGCAGAGTGGTGTTCAGAAAGTTGGTGTGTGCTTAAGCTTTTGGTGCAAGGTGGTAAATTGGGGCCTGTGCTGAGCCCTGGAGAAGTTCTCTTTGCACCAACATCCTCCCACCCCCGCAGAGGAGCCTCCCACTGCCCAGATTTTTTATATCTATATTTTTAGCCATTTGCCTATTTACAGTGAGGAAAGGGCCCAGAAATCCCAAATGACTAAAGGGCCTCCTGGCCTAGGCACAGCCACAAGCCCCACTCCAACATAAACTGTAGCAAAGACTGCCCAGAGCTCAGAACAAATATTTTTGCAAAAAGCTGGAAATAATCTCCCCATTCACCCAGGCCTGGTAAGAGCTGGTTTGATGGTTGTTTTTTTTTCCTTCTGCCTGGAGCTGCTTTTGAGGGGCACTCACGGGCTCCATCCATTCCCCCAGGTCCACCTGATGAAGCCTGAGGCTGTACCCAAGGCCTGCTGTGCCCCCACCAAGCTCAGTGCCACCTCTGTCCTCTACTATGACAGCAACAACAACGTCATCCTCAAGAAGCACCGTAACATGGTGGTGAAATCCTGTGGCTGCCACTGATGCCTGGGTCCCACCTCTAGCCCAGCCCAGCCCAGCTCCATCCCAACTCCATCCCAACTCCATCCCAGCTCCATCCCAACTCCATCCCAGCTCCATCCCATCCCAGCTGGAGCAACGTGACACTGGTTTTCTACACCACGTGTGGGGAAAAAAACAAAAGGAGTTTCATGGGCTGCCTTGGAGCAAAAGCTGTTCAAAATAATGATCCCAATAAGAAAGAGAAATCCCTCCCACCCTTTCCTAGAAAGTGGATGTAAATAATGCAAAATTTGTATTCCCTTACCACACATACATTTTATACACACACACACACATATATAGGAAAGAGGATTTGTGGCTGTTTCTGTGTCTGTTTTGCTCATGGCTGATGTTTTGCCCCTGGAGCTGCTGCCACCTGCTGAGGAGGCAGTTTGGGCTGAAGGCTCATCAGGAGAAGTGAAGCAGCTGCTTTGGGACTGAGCTGTTTCTGGCCATCTAACCCACCTCTACCAAGTGCTTTTAATTCTCTTAATGAAAACCCCATCAGCCAATTAACCAGCTGGCTGACTAACCCCCTCCTGTTTACTTAAAAGTTCACAAAACTCAGCCAGTTGGGAAAAAAAAAATAAATATATATATCCATATTGAGCTATGACACTTATAAAATAAACACCTAGTTTGGAAATAAAGACACAGTTTCTTCTTGCTGTTTGTTTTTGAATAAATGTCAGGGCACAGCAGAGCTCTGTTCGGGATTTCGCAATGCAAAGAAATACTCAGGGTTGGCTAAAATTGGACCTTTTTGCTTGAAAATGAGCTCCCCAAAGGGCTGTGAGGTGAGATTTAGGTCAGGCTCTGTCTCCTCAGCCTGGAAAGGTGCTGTGCTCATGGGTTGATGCTTCTAATGGGCTCGCAACAGGGCTGTGACCACAGCAGCTTCCCTATTTGCACAATGAAGTTATTTATTTGTGATGATTTTAAAAGGAAAAGGCCCCTTTCTCAGCTCAGGTACCTGAGGAATCTTGTGTCACTGAACAAATCACAAACCTGGCTTCAGCCCAATGCAAAGGAAAAAAACACATTAATCCCAAGAAACCCACCAAAAGAAGACAGATCTGCTCCCTGCCAGTGCCCAGCTGCCTGACAATGTCTTGCTTCTTTGGAAAGATTTTATCTGCTGACCAATCTGATGCAGAGATTCTGCAGGTGGTGCTGATGATTTCTGCAATTTCTCAATTAAAAATGAGATTTTTAAATAACTAGAAGAGAGTGAATGGGGAAAAATGTCAGGTTGGTTGTCTGTTTGTCTGGTACCATCTGAGAGCCCCTACCTCACCCTGTCCCAGTGATAGGGTGATGCACAACCCCCAGACCATGTGGAAAACCAGCAAGTGGATAAAGCCAACCCAGTATTTATTATGGAAAAGCAAAACCTCTGTCCTGTGAGCAGCTGGGCTGGCAAAACTGAAAACCCCCGATTGCACAAGCTCTTAAAACAACATTCCCTGCCCCAGCTGGCACACCCACCCCTCCCCAGCAGCCCCAGCCCTCCTGCCACTGCCTGCACGACCTCAACACCCCCCATCCCTTCCACCCCACGTTCCCAGAAATACCCAGTGCCACAACTTCATAGAAAGCCCTCAAGCAGTCACTTGCCACCGTGGTTACCTCCCTGGTGCTTGGCCAGAGCTGCCTGCTGACTGTAACTGGGCTGTAACTGGACTGTAACTGTGGGCTGTAACACATCCTGCTCTGCAGCCCAGGCTGTGGAAATTAAACCCCTTCCTCCAGCCTCATCACTCTTATTTTTTCTTCCTTTATCACCCAAAGGGCTTCTTCATTTCTTGGTGCTTCTTGTCCTGACCTTGTTCCCAGTAAAGTCCCAGTAAAAGCCCTCCCTCTGGGAAGGAGTTAGACCAGGCTGGCTTCTCAGCCACCAACCAGGGACCCTGCCTCCCCCTGCTGATGGGAAGGGACACTGCCGAGCTGGGGACAGGCCAAAAACACTTCCACAAGCTCCTGCTGCTGGAAAAGCCTGGGATTAATTCTGCTCTCCCTGCCCAGCACAGGCAGCTTCCCCTGGAACCAGGACTTAGGCACCAGATTTGAGAATATGAGGGTGAAAACCAAAAAACCAAGAATCATCTTTGTTCAAAGACCAACCCCAGAAAGATGTGAGAATTCAGCAGCCAGGGGTAGGTCCTCAGCATTTTTTTTAAATTAAGTTTTAATTTTTCCCTAAAATAAAGTCTTTGCAGAACACAGCAATGGAACCGGCTGGGAAGCGACTCCCCCTGGGGTGGGGCAGAGCCCCCCTGCTCTGCACAGCCACGTTCACATCAGGCTTTGCAGGGGAATTCCAGCAGAAGCCACACAAACTGGGCACTGCTGAGGGGGGGGGAAAACTGGGAGGTCCCACCTCATCCAGCTCCCCAGCCCCTCCTGGCCAGGCTTGTCCCATCCAGCCCTGTCCACCAGCCGAGCTCACGGGCACTCCCCACAGTCTGAGATAATCACCTTCTGCTTCGGTTTCCCATCCTTGGTGCCCTGAGCCTTAGGAGAAAAGAGCAGCAGGAGTGAAAGGCACTACATCCAAGGGCAGGAAGGGGGTGGGCTCTGCCCCCCCAGCCCCCTGCTGAAGGGACCCACCTCGATCTCCCGCACCACGTCCATTCCCTCCGTCACCTCCCCGAACACCACGTGCTTCCCATCTAGCCAGTCTGTTTTATCACAAGTGATGAAGAACTGGGAACCATTGGTGTTTGGGCCAGAGTTTGCCATGGATAACAGCCCTGTCATCAAAAAAAACGGTGTTAGGGCTGGGAGGGAGCCACGAGCTCCAGCACACAAGACACTGCTTCAACCCAAACCCATCCCCAAGCCCTGCAAACGCTGCCAGTTTCAGGAGAAACTTCATGGAAACTGGTAAAAACTGGGAGAAAAGAACTTGCAAACATGAGAGGTGGAAAGGGACAGACACTGCTCATCTATTTTAGCTGCAGTAACAGAAAAGGTGTTTGCACAGAGATAAACCTCCTTGCTTTTTGCTGCTTCTCATAGTCACCCTGTACCTTTCCTCCTTTACAAACTAACAGGAAAGCAGCTTTGAAACTCTCCATTATATGATACTGGCAATGAACAGTGTGTGGATGGAATAAGAATGATACATTTCTCCTCTCTGAATCATAGAATCACAAACTGGTTTGGGTTGGAGGGGACCTTAAAGCTCATCCAGTCCAAACCCCCTGCATGGGCAGGGACACCTCCCACCAGCCCAGGTTGCTCCAAGCCCCATCCAACCTGCCCTTCAACACTGCCAGGGATGGGGCAGCCACAGCTTCCCTGGGCAACCTGGGCCAGGCTCTCACCACCCCCACACTCAAGAAATTTCCTCCTCATGTCTAATCTAAATCTCCCCTCTTCAAGCTCCAAGCCATGCAATACCAGTGAGGCACAAGGGTCTGACCATGGCAGAAACACCTGGACAACACAGACAATAATTCAGGGCTGCTACTATCAACACAGCTCAGGTCAGAACAGCCCAAGTGTGGCCCTGAGATGATGCTGAGACCATTTTGCAACCCAGCCCCTGCCAGGGGATGTGACCCTACCTGGCCCTGTGTGCTTAAGAATGAAGTTTTCATCATCAAACTTCTTCCCGTAGATGGATTTGCCGCCGGTGCCGTTGTGGTTGGTGAAGTCGCCAGCCTGGCACATGAACTGGGGGATGATGCGGTGGAAGCTGCTCCCTTTGAAGCCAAAACCCTTCTCGTGGGTGCAGAGGCAGCGGAAATTCTCTGTTTGGGTCGGGGAGAGGGGGGAGCAAAGAGGAGAGAGGTGAGAGCTGCATCACAGCTGGGAGGCACAGCTGGGTGGGCTGCCCTTCTCCTCACCCACAGTCATGGGCACCACGTCCGAGCGCAGCAGGATCTGCAGCCGCCCCGCGGGTTTGTTCCCAATCTTGATGTCCATGTAAACCTGAGGGTTGGCCCGGGCTTTCTTGGCAGGAGGCTCACCCTGGGCAGGCAAAGAAAAAAAAACAACAAGATGAGGTGACATTGCCCTGCTCTGCTCCCCAGAGGGCTGAGCCCTCAGCCTCTGGGACAGCAAGGATACGGACGGGTCGCGTTGTTATTCCTACCTCCTGCGCCTCTGTTTTGGGGGCCTCTGCTCCTGTCTCCTCTGTGTTCTCCTCCAGAGTCTTCCCTGAAAACTTCTTCAGCCACTCATCATCCGACCAGACTGTGATGGCAAAAAGAAGGGTCAGGGCACAGGAACCCAACCCAAGGGCCACGGAGGAGTGCAGTGTGACACTGGCAGCAGATCCCACCCGAGAGACAAGGGGTGCAGGGAAATAAGGGACAAAGTCACCCTTTCTTCCTCCCTGAGGTGCTACACAAGCAGAACACACTCATGGCTTGCTCCCTGCCACTACCCCCACCCAGGACAACTCCCCAGAATGGCCTCAGCTCCATCTGCTTTTACAGATGTGGCCAGATGTGTAGGTGCTGTGTCCTCTATAATAGGGCATGAAGGCAACTAGATACACAGCCAAGAGTGTTTCCATAAATTAGGGGATATTTTGGTTATTAGGATGCTGCTCCCATCCCTGAGGCTCCCCAGACAGAATGCAGAGTGGAGATCTTTGCCTCAGGATCTGGGAAAGCAGCAAGACTTATCCCCTCCAACTCACCAGGCCTGGATGATCCTTCTTTAATTCGCATCGGTTTGGCCAAGTTCACCCGAATGGTCCTGCCAAAGAGCTCAGACTCGTTCTGCAGAGGCAGAAAAAGCAGAAGAAAGCCCACCCCAAAGTAAAAAATCACCATGACCCCAAATCCCCTCCAAGTCCAGAGAAAAACAGAGCTTGTTTTCTCTACAAAGCCCACACAGAGTTTCTGGGGAGACAGCAAAGACACGTGTCTCCCCAGGGAGGTGGAACCAGGGTCCATACCATGTTGTCAATAGCTGCTGCTGCATCCTGTCAAAGAGAAGGGAAAGAAATTCATTATGATCATTTCTTCTACCTGTAAAAACAAGTCTCAGCCTATACAGGCTCCAGAGTTTTGTTGCAAAAAAAAGATGGTCAAAGAACTGTTTTCCTAAAGCTCATCTACCCCAGGGCTGGAAAAAACACTGGGTCTTGCATGAGCTGTAACCAACCCAGCACTGGGGTTGTCCTCCCACAACCCACCCAGTAAACTCACTGGGTGCCCAATGCTTTAAATATCTGGGAGATCTCATGTTAAGAAAGTCAGGGCAGGTTATAGGACAGCAAACACAGGAGGCTGTGCTGCCCACGAAGCCAGGAACCCCCCTGGGTCTGGGGGGGCAGCAGGGCTGGGGGAGCAGCAGGGCTGTGAGCTGGGGGGGCA